ACCTTAGTGCCTTGACTGCTGTTATGATTTGGCGCTGTGTAAATAAAATTGACTTGAATTGGATATACATATATAGTCTAGGGAAAAACTGACATGCCAGTTTTAGTGATTCAAAGACATTCAATTGCTATATTTAGTTTGAAAAAAAGACATAAACAAATCAAAGAATTAATACAGGTTTATTCTGAAAAACATCCAACATTTTAAATTGAGTATCTCATACTTTCTTTGGGAGGACAAGCTCAACCCTAAAAGAGAGGGAAACATAGACCACAAGCAGGCAGGAGAAACTGAAAGTATGCCCAAGCTGTTAAATATCACAGAGCTGTTGTAAGTATAAATAAGTTAAACACCTAAGAACATAAACAGTTTAGGTAAAAAAAGAAGAAGAAGAAAAAATGTTTTATGGTTTGCCTTAATGCCTGCATTAAGAAAACTGAGGGATGGACTCCACCTGAGGCGTGGTTATAATTTGATGAGGGTTCACTAAATACAACCTAAATCTTTGACTTGGTTATGAAGTTCCAGTCTTTATCTGGCTAATTTTTCTTTACCTGAGGACACTGTTAAAATCCACAGATATATAATTTCAGATTTGACCATGTGGAAGAAATCCCACATTTATCACAGAATGCTTTATCCAAATTTGGTACACATGCATCAATTTACAAAAACACAACCTTGTTGAAAATGCCTCATACCATTCTGCTTTTAACACCTACTTCTTACCCCTTCATTGTGCGGTACCGGTTCATTAATGCTCAATTTCCATCAAAAAATGATGAAAATGCCATTTTTACCATCGCTCACACTGAATGAAATCAAATTCCTTTATCCTGAAATTTTCAAGACTGGCTGCAGCCCCATTAAAACCTCAGCTAGCATTCATGTAAAAGTATGAACACTTCAAACCAGCATCACTTTAACCCCATCTTATGGTACAACCTGCCTTATATGCACATTCAATTACCTCACTCTGTCCCTTCGTCCACTCAGCCTATTCAAAGTCTTCAGTGGCATCTGATTGCTATGTCTCAACTTTTCAACATAACACCGAGCTAAACCCAGACAACATAATCCACCACTTATCCCACTGAAGGTAACCTCAGACAGATCATATATTTTCCACGTTCCTGAACTTATTAAGCACTGAGTCACAAGGCCAGCTGACTTTGGAGGGTATGAGGAGACTAAGGTAAGCATTTCTCTGTGCTCTCAATATTCTCCAATGGGGGGGGAAGACAAAAAACCTTAGGTTAACATTATTAAATCCTTTCATGTATATCTGAAAACCAGAATGTAGTTTTTTGTTTTACCTGAAGCAAGGGGAAACAGAGGATGGACTCTCTGTGAAGTTTTGATTAAAAACAAGTCCTTCATCATTTTAAGATCCCGAGGCCTTAACTTAAAAATAACGTACGACTTCATCAAGTCTCTTTTCGTTGTTTGAGTTTAAATTTTTGTTCTTTTTATTTTAATTTAAACTATCATTTCTTAGCAACAACATTACTTCAAAACATCATGTAAAATGTTACAAACGTGGCTTTAAATGTACAAAAACAAGAGTTTTCTAATTTTATGTCAATCTCGACACAACTGCTAACAATGAGAAGAAAGAAAGGCAGGAACAAAGAGTTTTCTTGGTTATAATAATTATAATGAAACCGTTGACTGTACTAAATTTAAAATACATTGGAAACTGAAATAAACTTTCAGCTGCAAAAAATAAAAAAATATGTTGCCTGGTAACAGGACATAAGTTAATCCACAGTCAATGTATTTAACCCAGGAAGTGGATTTAAAAAAAAAAAAACTAAAATAAAATAACAACAAATGCAATAAAAATAATAACATTAATAAAAGAACATGTGGAAAATAAATCCATCAAAGTCCTCAAACATCCCAAATTTCTGGAAAAGCCTACAGCAGCCGCTGCTGCTTCATAAGAAAGCTGAAAGCTGAACAAAAGCGAGTACATATACAGAAGTGAGAAGTAATATAAAAAGTAAACATCATGACTTTCACACAAACAAAAACGATAACAAAACAAACAAAAAACATCGTCACGCTGTAACAGGACACGGGATGCTAGACTGCATTTAGGTTTCATTGTCCTTTTCTGATGAGGAATCTCTGGGTGACAGATCTGGATGGATGGATTATATAACTGTTATGGATCAGACAGATGCTCACTGAGGAAAACCACATGTCTCCAATATATATAATATATCTTTTATCATCATCATCAACTTTTATGAACCAATAGAAGAAGAAAAAATCCCAGATTTCAGAGATACATCTGATTCATTAGACGGCGACCCCTTTTTTAAAAAATCGTTCATACGGGCGACATTTGGTTTGAAAATCTGAAAAGTCCTATAAGGACACAGATCCTTTGTGTCTTTCCGGGTGTGCTCCTGCTGGGATGAGCACTATGATGACATAGTTTTGAATCACTAACGATTGCTCTGATGATAGACGGGCCACGTGGGGAACAACAACGAGCATAGGCAGGCCTGTGTTTGGTTTCATGCATCTAAAGAAAGACCAAGACTGATTGTATCACCATCAATCAAACCCTTGGAAGACAAAAGACACACGGACTGACCAACCCTCTCCAGAAAAACACAGTTTTCCCAGTTGCTTCCCGAGCCACTGATACTGTAGCACATTTGTTGTTGTCTTACCTTCAGATTGTTGCTACCTGTTATTTCACCATCACAGGTATCTTATGATAGTGATGTTTTCATAGATAATTAACATTACAGTACAGCAAATGCTGTTAAACCCTAGAGCCTGGCAAAATTATCTTAAAAAAAAAAGTTTCCCTCTTCTTTTATTCCCACCCTGCCGCCCCCCTCCCTCCCCTTTCCAGCAAAGTGAACTTTGGTCTCAGAAAACAGCAGGCTTTAGGACGTGAGCTAGGGATAGTCGGGGTAAACAAGGGCATGCTAACAAATATTAAGTGTTGCACAACACTGAACAATGCAGAAACCTTTTTTTTAATTATTTAAATGTTTTCCAACACCTTTGATGCTGGTAAGCTGTGACCTCAGGCCACAACAAACTCTTTAACTGCTTCCTTCAGCTTCTGCCCTCCCTCCCCCGTAATGACATTAAAGCCCTCTGACAACCACTCTTGCTCTATTTTAACAGTAATAGTAATAGAAAATACATTTTGGTATGCAAAACTAGCCCTATCCATCGCTTTTCTTTCAGACCTGGACAAAAAATATTAAAGCTTTTAAATCTGAATGACATCTGTGTCACATCTACAATATCCTGTAACATTAACTGCTCGTGTTCAACATTTAAATATTCATATAACTACTTTTTGCCCAGGTCCTTTGTGTCCTCGGCCCTTTTTTCGAGGGTTTTTATTCACTTTCAATTCAATCAATTTTCATCTACATTCAAATATTGAAAACCACAAAACGAGTCGCATGTTGAAATGATCACGCGAAGCCTTCATCGTTAGAAACAACTGATCTACAACTGCAGTTTCATTCAACTCTTTTTCAGTTGATTGCATTGAAAGTGAATGGACAGCCGGCACGGGTTCTCGACTCTTCCTCCTTGCATAACTTCCTCCTCCTCAGCGCATCTTGTGTTCCATGTCAGCGTTGGCCATGTTTGAGCCAGGGCTGGGGTCCTGCTGTCGTCTGGACTGGTGAGAGAGAGGGATAAAAGGATGGAAGAGGGGGGAAGAGAAGAGCATGTCAAGACGACAGGAGGAAAGAGATGGCAAGGAAGGGATGAGAGAGAAAAAAGACAATAAATTAAGTACAGATTTTCACATGTTAACAAATGTAAAGATTTCTCCAGTCTGGGGTGAACTTCAAAATAATGCCAATGCCCACAGACTCCCAGATTAAAACAGAAGTAAACATATTTACAGCCTTTCACTACAACCACTGCGAGAGCAAAGTTTTCTTTATAAATCTTCTTTAACACTTAATTAAGGCTTAACGTTAGGAGTTCACCTTCATCGCTGCTAATGCCAGTCACAGAGACGTCTCAGTAAACATTTGTGTTGTTGGTGATTTATGCAATCATCTAATGCAGCGGTCTCCAACCTTTTTTG